CATCATCATCATCATCATCATCATCATCATCCTACAGTGTTACAAAATTTTGATTTAATCAATGCAGTATTGTAATATTTCATGGTCTAAAATCATTAGTTTTCTCATTGCGGTTATTCTTTTGATGGGCTATGAATGTGCATTTAACAGTCTCAAACAGCACATTCTGATCTGGAGCTTCAGATGGATTGGTCAGCCCTACCTAAAAACATATTTTTTGAGCAATCTCTTTCATCCATTCCAAGCAGCACAATATCTTAATTGAATAATGGTCCCTAAATTTAGGAGAGTTTTCTCTTTGGCTAGATTTAATACCTTCCCAACAGCTGTCATGAGGGGAAATACTAGGACATTCTATTTGAGCAAAGACTATGCCCCTGTGGCACAGGAACAATAGAGACATTGAACCATGTTGTATTGTATTATACTGTACTGTTCTCATTATGTTGTTTGATGTCAGGAGACATCCCCATTTTTAGACAAACATCCTAATTGCTCAGATTCATTTTCTCTTCACCTATTGCTATCTGACCAGCTGGACTCTGTCTTACTGAACATAGCTAAATACTGTCTTGTCGTCTATAGTATCTGCCATAACTTATCAATAAGCAGCTTTTAAATATCTTTTGACCCAGACGTGCTTGCTTATTTTTAGTTTTATTGTATATTTATTTTTAATTTGTCACTCCTATTTAGGTTTTACAGTTCTGTACAGTACTGTTTATTTTCACTACTGATTATTTGGGAATTGTATGTTTTAATTTTGAATTTATTTTGAGCTGGTCTATGACTGTAATAAACTGAACTGAGCATTTCAGATGTTTAACAATATATTTATATAAGCAAAGCATATTAGTACTAGCTAAAAAACTGATTTAAAACAATGACGGGGAAACGGGGGGGGGGGGGGGAGAGAAGCAATAAACTGATGTCTATCGGTAAAATAAAAGTATAGAATAACATCTCCTTCCTAATATAAAGTATTTAGAAATTGGACAGTTTCCTGAAAAGTTGGGAAAATTATACAAAGGACTATTCAATGAAAATTGCACTATTTTCTTTTTTCTTCCAGATAGGTCAGAATTTCTGCAGTTTAAGAAAAGATGGGGAAAACTCTGGGAAAACATAGATGGCAATACTTTGAGGAAGTAGCGTTTTTATCATAAATAAATACATGAGTCAAACTAGTTCCATAGGAAAACTGAAGCCTATTTACCTTCTGGTGATGTAGTTGTAGAATTTGGAAAGGTAGAATTAAAAGGAGAGGTAGTAGTGATGATTGTCATCAACTTCTCAGTGGTGGCAATAGTTGGAGAAGTACTAGTTGAATTGGATTCATCACCAGAAACTGGATTTTCTAGAAAAGAAAAAGGAAAGAAATGAAAAATATTTATAGTTCATCAGTACAATTTGATATTGTAGAAGAGTCTTTGACAGGGCTCAGAGCAGAAATGCTGCAACAACAACAACAAAAATATGCACTCCTGTTCCTTATTGTTCACAGCAAATACATTACTTGATGCAAATGATAAATTGCATATTTGCAAGAACAGTCACTAGTTCTCAACAAATCAAATTTGCCTGTTTTCCTTTTCTGCATTGGCACATCTCAAATTAAGGCAGATCCATTGTTTATTATTATTTATAGAATTCCATCCCAATACATGGAATTTACAAAGAGCAGGTCCCCGTAGGGACTCACATTTTCAAATAAACAGGAAAAGAAGCGGGGGAGCGGGAAGGAGAGAGAGAGATAAATGTGGGAAAGACATGCTATTATTTCAATTGCATGTACATTGGCTTAGATTAAAGTTATTCTGAAAGAATCTTGGAAAATGTGAATTTCAGGAGGGATGCAGCTATATGAAAGCATTCAGGGAGGCAGTTCTAGGAATATCTAGTCCAGGACAGCTTCTTCTAGAATATCAAAGATGAGACGGTGGAGCAGAAGCTCTTTGGATGGTTAAAATTTATAGGAAGAGATGTGACAGGATATAAAAGCAGATAAGCGAGTGCATACCATGAAAGAGTTTCCTGTACCCCAGAAGTCAAGCCTTTGAAACCTAAAGCCCCTCTACCTAGGCAGATCTCCTTCTGCAGCAGTGGACCTATTTGTCGTACAGCAGGGTAGGAAAAACTATTTAAAAGTGGGGATTGCAACGGGAACACTATTATATTTTCCAACATATATTTTTCTTCCTAGGCTGTAAAGAACAAAAATATCCACATTTCACCAGGAGAGATCATGTATCCCCAAGCCCACAAGTGTGTAATGTATACATGTAGAAAGGTCTATGGGGACAATTAACCACAAGTACATTCTTCTGCATTGCAGCTGCACAATTTGGGAGTGGGAGATCGAGGGGAAAGGGGAGACAGACAGCCTAGGCTTCTTGCATGGGCAACAGGGTGGATGGCAAGAGGGAAAGCAGCCCTTGATAATAAAGACTAGGGGACATATTGCACTGAAAACTACAATTTTACAGCTAATGCAGGGATGTAAAGTGTCAGGACTCTTTGTGGCTTCCCAGGCCATAGTTGTATCTTGCCTAGATGTAATTCTTAGTATGAAAGAAGAGGTGAATTATTATGTCTTGGGGTAGTAATTACGTTAACTGTAAGTAAAGTTAAATTAAATTAAATCAAATTAGATGTTTTTATCCTGTCCTTGCCCACTTCTTTGTTCTGACCCTGCTTACATCTGGAGTGCAGACACCCAACATACTCCTCAAAGGACAACAACGGCCCTTTGCTGGAAACTCTTGACCTAAAATGGGAGCATGAGAAAGGATCTAGAGATCTGCGATAGAATAAAGGGAGAATGTTCTGGGAAGACATAGGATTAAATGCACAGATTAATTAAAGTAAATGCATAGATACTATCAATACACATCTGAAAATCATGGGTTACCAATGACAATATTAATATTGACAGACAGAACCTGTAACAAAGGGCCAAGTACAGAGCCCTGAGAGGGAAAAATCAAAGACAGAAAACATCCATCCTCTTGAAAACAGGGAGAGCTTGATTAGACAGAGCTTGATTGGAAGAGAACCAAATCATGAAGACAACTGTGAAGAATTTGGACAAGAGGGAAATCAAACAGAAGAGGATAACCAGCTATAACAAAGGCTGAGCAGATCTCATGGAGGTGGAGTGAGGAGAGCTGGATTGAGAAGTAGGGCATCAAAAACAATTTTTGTAAGGGCCATTCAGTGGATATTAGTGCTAAAAGCCAGATGGGAAAGTGTTAAATATAGGATGGTGAGAGAATGAGAGGTAGCAGCAAGTTTAGGAGTTTATGATGTAGGACACAAAGGAAATTAGTGAAATAAAGATGGAGATGTTTTAAATATCTGCATAAACTGGACTGGCATGCTCATGTGTGCGCGCACACACACGCTCCTCTTGATATTTTTGCAAGAAAGTTCCATAATAGAATAGATATGTTATTTCACAACATATGCATTTGTATGCACATGTTCCTTAGTAATCAATGTAGTTTTAGTTTGGAAAATTGCACTGCACTATTCACAATAGTGCTTGGCTGCAACTTTACAGCCCTTTACTTTCCACTGTGCTAGCAGTAGCTCATGGAAGCTGGAACTTGTCAACATCTGGACAGCTATCCCTAACCTAATTCTTTGTAATTCTTCATGCAATGTTTAACATAATATTTCCATTTACAATTCCAGTTTAAAATTTAGGTATTTACATTTTAAATACCTTAAAATATTTATTCCTAATTATTTTGTCATTTTAGGTTAAATGCACTCAAGCTTTCAAAAACTTTGTTTTTTAATTAGTTGATGCTCAGAACAAATGCACCGTTAATAATTTCAGATTTTCAAACTATTATTTGAAATGGTTGCACTATTTTTTTTTCTTTAGAAGTCAAGACAGGCTTGAAACTCAGGTAACAAGAGAACAAAGTTTTAAGTCTTCATTTCCACATTTCACAAAAGCTTTTTTGGTTCCCTTCTGTGAAAATATTACAGATACCTAATGTCATTTATGATGAACTGGCTGAGCATATTGTTTCTGATAGCATGCAATTTTTCATGTTCTTCTAGCATGAGCCATACTTCTCTAAGTTCCTTTACAATTGTTTGAAAGAATATTTTAGAGGAATGTTGATAATGGTATTTTTCTTCTACAGGTCAAAAGGCTAGAAGCAGAACAAGAAATCAATTATTTTCCAGTGTTTGGGTAAGTTGTATATTTATATCCACCAACCTTATTAAAAGAACATTCTGTTGTGCAAAGGGATACACTCTCACTGCCAAGAATTCTGGATTATCTTAAAATTAATCTAGAACAAATGTTTAATGCCAAGTGCCTGAAACAGGGTAATTGATGTCTCATATGACACAGCTCAGGATGTGTATATTACATGCTGCAGGTTCACCATAATGTTAGCCAGACATTATTTTGTATTCACAGTATGAATGGGTATTTGTATACACATTCCAGTTTGCAAAAGAACTAACATTCATATATTCGTACCTAAATTGTACACATGTGACTATTCACATGCTCATTTGTATACACATACACTGAGTACTTGATTTACATTTGCTTGTATGAACTGTTGAACATATGGTAATTACATATCTCTTTCAGACTCTTAATATAACCTATCGCATACTGAAAAAGTCATAGTCTTCATTTCATTTAGTATTAAATTTATATCCTGTTTTTCTGTTGATGTAAGCATTCATAGCAACTTACAATAGTTAAAACAAAATAGGAAATACTGTATACTATAAAATATAACAGTAAAATAAATGAAATTAAAATCCAAATGGGTAGCTTCTGCCATTTAGAATCAACCATCAACAGTAAAGGAACAAGCAGGCTGTGGTATATTCAAGAAATATACCACAGACTAGCACTTGGTAGAGCAGCCATTAAAGCCTTGGAAAAGATATTCAGATGCTGTGATGTATCTGTGCCTACAAGGATCAGAATCATGCAAGCCATGGTATTCCCTGTAGCACTCTATGGAAGTGAAAGTTGGAAAAAGCAAGATAGGAAGGGTATTTGACGCCTTTGAACTTTGGTGTTGAAGAAGACTCTGGAGAATACCTTGGACAGCAAAGAAAACAAACCAATGGATCATCGAACAAATCAACCCAGAGTTCTCCCTCAAGGCACAAATGACCAGGCTCAAATTATCCTACTTTGGACACATTATGCGAAGACCTAACTGTCTGGAGAAGGCTATAATGCTGGGAAAGGT